ATGGGTTGCTTCTCTCCTCTGTACCAACCTGCAACATAGCAAATAATACATAAGAATTATAATAATTTGAGGACAGGAAATTTCAAAATTAGAACGATTTCAAGATAAAACGTATTTGCCTACAGTACACGACTTATGACAAAACTTTGTAAATTACAACTTCTTGAAATTAACTAGATCTAAAGCATTAAAATGTTATAAAAATAAAAGTTTCTTGAACGTTCTAGAGTATTTAAGAGAATTCTAGAAACATTTGAACAACTCTAGCAGTTCAGGAATATTATAGGAGGAAGCTCGACATTGAAAGTAAATCGAGAATTTTCTTGAAAACACGCAATTTCCCATATTTCATTGTTCCAGTCACAGAAGCAAAGTTTTTCTGGAACAACAGCAATTTCTTTTTTGTTCTAGACCTATCAGGTTAGAAAAACACCCTTTTAACCCAGGAATAGAACAAAAGTGAAAATTTGTTACATAGTCTTCTAAGTATTTTTTACAAAACAAGGAACGTTATTAACAAACGTACCTTAGTTCAAGTGTATTACTCTTTAACTGATTGTCATATTAACTATGTATTGGTTGAGGTAGTACTAATAAAAACTCTCTAATGGCAACAGAAATTTAAAGATTTCTCATGCAGAGTTATTTTTATATGAAATAAAAGTATAAGACCTAAATATGCTTAATGTTCTTTTATTAAAGTAAAATAAAAAAATTTTAAATTAACTTTTAATTTTATTTTATAAAACCTTTTAAATTTCATTTTTTAAATAAAAATTTATACATAAATTTTTAAAGTTAAAATCCTATTTCTTTTATTATCAATACTTTTTAATGAGTATTTACTATCTCCATTACAACATTGTTAAACATTGTGAATAAATGCGTGTTTAGTTTTAGCAATTTTTGGTGATTAGACATATTGGCTTTCTTAGTGTTTTTCGTATTTTTTATTATTTTATCACAAATATTTATTTTTAATTTCTTCTTTTTTATATAATTGCAAAAATAAAACAAAAAAATAATATAAAAATAAAAATAAAATAATAATAATAATAATAACAACAATAATGATAATAATAACAATAATAAAAAGCCTTGTTTTATAAATTTTAGTACGGTCTATTTAATTTCCATTACCATGTAGTTTTTATCTAGGTAAGTGTTCTATGATCTTATAAATTTCAGCCGACTCTAACACTCTAAGAATAAACACTGTTTGCTAATTATGAAAATTGTTGAAATAATAAGCGACAATATTTTATTTGTTTAAGATGAGTTTTCACTCGTTAATAAAAGTCTTAGAAAATTTTTAACACAATATAAAAGGTTAAATATCTGATTAAATATCTTTAATAATTGATTGAAAATTGCATTTTATAGTTGTTTAGATTTATGTTAAACTGTCCAATAGGATGGCTTTTTGACATTAAGTTACAATACAATGGCTGTTTGACATTAAAATCGCTTGCAAGATTTTATCGACACAAGACATTTTATTTTAAAATTATTTATGACCTAGTCTTGAGACGATAAGAGGTTTTATTAATTTTATTGTTGATGCTTTATATGAGCTTTACTTTAGTCAACTCTATTTAATCTTTATTTGTATCTCTTAAAAATTTACCTTACAAAACTGAATAATTAAAAAATTATAACTTTAAAAAGTTGAAATTTTACCATTGAGCTTATAGTACTAAGTGTACCGAACATATATCATGATGATTGGTACCTCAAAAACTAGTTATTAGGGTTTTTTTCTGCAAATCTTATTTGCTATAAGAACTCAAAATATTTTAAAAAATAAAAAGATGGCCAAAAAGCTTAATATGTCTTTTAACTTAAAGTATCGTTTGGTTTTATAGGGTTCTCGTTAATGTAATTTTATATACCTAAGTCTGTGTTACGCCCAGGGGCGGATTCAGTATTTTTTGGTCTTCGAGATATCTAACTTCCAGACATGGCGCTAACTCCAAACATTTATATGTTTATACTTATACCAAATTAAGATGCTTTACAAAAAAATTGAGGATATTAGAGCCTGGGAACAAAAAAGCCCCAAAGATTTTGCCCCCTGCCCCAAACGTGTGAGCAACAAATTGATGAAATATTTTTTGTACTATTTTCAACTAGATATTCATCGAGAAATTTTAAGTTTCATAGTAAAATATTTTAGCGTTCAAAAATTATGACCATTTAAAGTTTAAACCTCCCACAACTTAAGGGGGTTGCAAATTTTATATGGTCATAAACAGGAGGGGGGGAGGAGGCCAACAATTTTGGGGCTTTTTTGTTTCCAGGCTCCAATCATCGCAATTTTTTGCAAAGCATCTTTATTTGATATAAGAATCTCAAAGAACAAAAAATGCTGGATCCGCTTCTAGTTATGGCGTAACCAGGGGCCATGAGTGGACTGTTTTAGGTTTTTCAAAATTCTTCAAATGTAGATTGAAAACTTATACTTTAAGTTATTATGACTCATTACCATTTTAAACACACTGTAAAAATATTACCCATAACTGACTGGTTTCTGAATCCATGACTGACCTTTCCTGAAAACTTTTGTAAGAATTTTTAAACTGTTCATTTTAACATATTAAAAAAAATATCTTAAGATATTAAAAATATTTTAAATATTTTAATAACTATGAAATTCTGCCATATGTTTAAGTTTGCCTTTATTTAAAAAAAAAAGCATTATTTTAAAAATTTGAGAAAGATTTTAATCAAATTTACTAATACTTTAACTACTGCAAACTTAAGTTTGAAAAAACCTTGTTGTAGCTAATATATATATATATATATATATATATATATATATATATATATATATATATATATATATATATATATATATATATATCATATATATATATATATATATATATATATATATATATATATATATATATATATATATATATATATATATATATATATATATATATATATATATATATATATATATATATATATATATATATATATATATATATATATATATATATATATATATATATATATATATATATATATATATATATATATATATATATATATATATATATATATATATATATATATATATATATATATATATATAGATATGATAGATAGATAGTATTAGACTTAGTATATTTATGATAATAATTTAACTTGTAACATTATGATTTTATTACGACATGTCGTTATATAGATAGCTTTGTACCTATATTATGTATAATATATAAAATATATATTTAATATATATAAATATATATAATAATATCATTAGCTACATATCGTAGGGTTGTAGCAAGCTACAATTTAACTGTAATTAGTTAATGTAACTGTAATTAACTCTGTAACTAGTCGAGGAATATAGATCGCAGCAGTGTTGCTAGCAATATTATTACGATATATTGATCGCTACAGATCGTAGATATTTAGCTAAACATAACGACAAATCTGATGGCTATTTTAGGTAGCGATGTTGTTACGATATATCGGTAGATATATACCGCTAGCTGCTACATAACGGCAATTTTATAGCTACTATGTGACTATAGTCATTATTTGCTATAACGATATGTATATACATATTGCAAGTTTTTAGTTAGCAATTTTAGAACGATATGTTAATAGCTACATATTGTAGCTTTGTAGCCTGCTAAATCATAACTATAAATCTAAAAATAGTTGATATCGAATATAGCGCCATTATTATTGTAGCTAACTATAACATAACGACAAGTCTGCATCTATTTGATAGCTACATATTGTAACTTTGTGGTTGTTTTAGGTGATCTATTTGATAGCAACATGGTTGTCTTAGATAAAACTACCAAAATAAAAAAATTAAAATAAGATAGAGCCATAAGGGATTATCGCTCGCTAGTTGCTACACGATTTCCCACCGGGATATATATATATATATATATATATATATATATATATATATATATATATATATATATATATATATATATATATATATACATGTGTGTTCCACCCCCCCCCCCCCTCCCGATGAAGGTGATTTCAATTGAGTCCGGTAAGTTTTCGTTTTCAAAACCTTTTTAATTTTTTTTTTGTTAGAAGCCAGTCATTACTTTTTGAGGATTTACCCCCCCCCCCCTCATTTTATTTGTAGAATTGCCTCTTTATATAGGCATATAATAAAAGTAAAATTAATAAAAATGCAAATAATCAAACTGGAATTTTTATTTTGTCAAGTCACAAATAATTGTTTAAACTTTCATAAAACGCGTTTTGCAAGAGTTTACGTTTATATAATTAAAGTTAAATTACAATATAAAAGAGTTTCTATACAAATTGTTTTCTTTTGATCTTTATTAAATAAATAACACACGTTTTTTAATATTGCAAAGGAGTTTTAAAAACACTCGTCTCCCTCAGCAACGCTAAAAAACATTTTTCTAAGTAACGTGGAAAATGAACCTCCATTAGTAGTATCTTTATTAATGCGTTTATATCAGCAACCTTAGAATGAAAACATACATATTTATATTTCTACTTTATTAAACATAAAATCTTTCTTAAAAAAGTTGCTTCTCGGTTATAATGTTAAAACATTTTTCAATAAGAAGGCAAAATTAACGACATTTATGTTTTAAAAAGTATTTAACTCTCAATATTGTTTGCGCGCTACTCAATCATGAACTTTAAACAATGAGTTTTACTTTTTTTGTGAAATAATTTTTAAAATATGAATTATTAATGAAAAGTTTATTAATTTCAATTCAATTTTAATATGGAGAACTTGCCAAAAATCATCACTGAAATTAAATATACAGACAGTATAATTCAGATCATATTAACGGATCAACAGTATTTAACTTAATACGAAGCGCCAATTTGTTCAAACGTGATAAAAATTTGCAAAACGCAGATTTTGCGTTAATTAACCCATTTTACTATTTAAATTCAATAATTGCTTAAGTAAACTTTGATTAACTTATTTGATCATCTTCCACGCGTTTTGCTTGGTTTTAATTTTGCGTGACATTAGCAATTCCATCTGCGCATCTTTTTGGCCAAATATAAATGAAACCGTTTTACAAAAGTTTTATCTTCTTTTTATAAAGTTATAACAACGCCAAAAATGTTTACATGGGATGAAAAAATCTCCCGTGAGTATTCTTTAGGTACTTATAAATTCTTTTTAGCTACACATTAAGTTTTAAGAATATTTTAAACTCATTGAGACATTTTTAATTTAGCTAAATGTTGTAACGATCATACAATTGTGGAAGATGATTATTACGCAATGTGCCGGTCGAAGCAAAGACGAAATCGAACAACTTTTAGCAAGCAGCAACTAATGGAACTGGAGTTGACTTTTCAAAAAAAACACTATCCAGACATTAATACAAGAGAAGCTTTAGCGGAACAAATTGGTATAACTGAAGCACGAATACAGGTAAAACGGCTTGTTGTTATTAATCTATTATGTTTCATAAAATAATTTAATTTAAAATTATATAACTAAAAATAATAACTACAAAAAAATAAAAATAATTGTTATATAAAAGCTTGCGTCTACAGGTATGGTTTCAAAACCGAAGGGCTAAATGGAGAAAATTATCAACTACAAAACAAAGACAATTGCAACGAGAAGCTAACAATCGCTATTCTTCAATTGACACATGGTTAGAAGAACTGAAATCACGTAAGCATGATATATCAAAAGAGTTGCTGACAGTTAAAAAAGAATCACCTCTGGTCAATGATTATGCAAACAATTTGTATAAAGATAAAAAAATCAAAATCGATAATGAAGAAAAAAGTGTTGAAATTAGAACATCTCCTTTCGATTCAAGACAGAGATCTACCGAACAAGAGCGAGTTCGCTACCTTCACCAATTCCCGTACATGTACTCTTCTCCTTCGCCACCTTACCCAAGCCATTTCTCATGTCCATGTAAGACGTGTCATGTAGCATCATGTTTTCCATTAATCAAGAAGCCATCATACGTAAAAAAAGAACTTAATATTTTAGAGTGTTTAGATGAACACACTAGACGAGGCGTCAGAATAGGATATAAATATCCAGAAGATCTACATAAAAACTTTAAAGAACCAGAAATTAAAGAAGAAAAGTTTTTGCCATCAAGATGGTAACATAAAATTAATAAAAATGTATATAATAAAACAAGACTAGACTTAAATTTTTACAGATAATTAAATTAATTTATGTTTGTGAAATTTTCACTTTTTTAATGGCATAAAATGTAAATACGGTTGAGCATAACGAAATATTCATTTGGATAAACACATAAGTATTCAAATTTCTGCTTTTTAGATCTAGAAATTTCATAAATAAATCAATTTGTACTTTAGTTAACTATACTTTCAGAGAGATGCATAACTTCCAATTCTAAACTTTAAAGAAGTTTTGATAAATTTCTCAAGTTTTTTGGTATGATAATACCTTTTTCTTTAATAACAGTTTTCATTCATGCAAACTGTTTTTTCCCTATTTTAAATATATTTTCCTCTTTTAAAGTAAATATTAAATTTACAGTTAGAAAATCTAAGAAGTAATACCAACGAATCACTCTGAAAAAATTCCACTTAGGTCCAACCAATTGGTTTTGAAATTCTATTAAATAGCCCATTTTGAGATTTTTTCCGATTTTAGTTTTTTACCATTTTTATCAGTTTTTTCCAATGATAAATTTTATTTCTTTCATAAAATGTTTAACAAAACTTTGTTCTACAAAAAAACATAAAATAAAAAAATATGTACAAATGTCATGCGCAACTTTTTTTTGTTTTATGCAAATTTACGTTTGGAGTGGTTGTTCGTGCGATATTTACGTTGGTAGTTTGTATTTACGCTTTAAATACCCCATGAACTACCAACGTAACTCGGTAGAAGTGTAAACAAAACAATTTAAAATTGTATAAAAAGGAAGTTTCTCATTAAATTTCATTATTTTAAGCTACTAAGAATCAAAATGCTAAACTCAGCAAAAACACATGAAGACTGCAGAAGAACAGTTTGTAGTAAGTAAGCTAAAAAGACAATAACTTCAAAGATGATAGAACTCCTTTGGCAGTTTGTGATAACTGTAGAATTCAATTTGGAAAGTTGGAAAAAGAAATAATGAAGATTGTGCCTCTGCTTTTCAACTTTCAATCCATTATTAAATTCTGTAGTTATCCATTTCTACGGTATACTAAATGTAAACTCCAGATAATTCGAACCTCCAAGAGACAAAGAGAATGGTTTTACTTATTTGAATGTTCGAGTTATTGATTCATTTTTATTAAAACGTGGTCAACAGGAATTTAAAAACACTTTGAGTAACTGGAAGTTTGAGTTGTGAATCGAGAGTGATTTTTCAAATTTGAATCTTTTAGAAACAAAAATAAATGTGACTGATCACACTGTTCTATCCTAAAGACATTTTTAAAGTTCTATGCAAGACAAATTTCTTAACAAAGCTATGCCCCTAAAACTTTTAAGACTTTAGTAACTTTTGGTTCTACATTAACCGTGTAACAGAAAATAAAAAATGTAATCTCATTAAAAAAATGCCTAAAAATGATAAAATTCATGGTCCTTTAACATGCCTATATTACTTTTTACCTTTATTACACACAGTATTTTTACAGTTTTTTGTACTATTGTAAATTACTGATTTAAAAATGATATTTTCCTAGATGTTTTCAAACCTGTCTAAGTCATTCATTTAAAAGTTGCTTAATTCAATTTTGAAAAAAACAAAAACACAATCACTCCACAATCATCCCACAATCTCTCTACTCCACAACAAGCTCTTTTTGAAATCACCGAATCAATTAGTAAAACTCGTAATAATAAATACTGTGCAAGTATTGTATTTATTGATTTATTGAAAGCTTTTGATACAGTAGATGAATCTATTCTGTTAAAATAATTAAAATTAAGACATAAATATTTTGATATCAATGTCTTAATGCTCAATGTATGTCTCTAATGCTTTAGGTTAGTATCAATAATCCTCAAAAAAAGTGCTCAAATTCATTAACTGAAACCTTACCAATCTAGTTTAGAGGCGTCGCTCTAAAAAGCTTTCTGATAGTTCTAATAAAAATTAATTGGTTTTTAAATCCAAACAAACAAAAACTTATAGACACTAAACTTTCGATTAACCTTAAATTTTATCTAAAAAACAAGTAAACACTGATAATTAAAATCATCGAGGATATTAATTATCATAAGAATTTCTAGTTCCTTTATTATTTATGAAACTAAAAATTACTCAAGCAGGAGAAAAAAGCAACCTTGGATAATACTTTCGCTTTTGCAAATAATGCAAGAAATAATAGACTCTATACAAACTTATTTAATAAAATATCTGAGAAAAATATAGTTTTAATACTCCTAGTAGAAAGTTTAAAGCGTACTCCAAAACAGACAAATTTAATTACTATTATAAAAATTTTGTATATGTTCTATTCCGTACGTTTATTTTCCCCTCTTTTTTTAGTTTTTTTTTTAACTAGACTTCTTTTATTATATATAGGGGAAGTGGGGGCATAACTGCATATGGAGGCACAACACTTTTTTAACATTTCTCTTTGAAAAATGTTGTCTATTATAGCAAAAAACATACCACGCGTTAATAAAACAGATCCCTTTATTTCGCTTAAGTCAAAAAGAGTGTCTGTAACGTTTCTGAAAAGTTATGCATAATAATGTTTATTTTGATAAAAATATTATATTTACATCATATTTTTCTAGACCTTTCTTTTGAGGATTAAGCAATATAAACATATGAAATATGTTATATACATATTATACAAAAAAATATTAAAAAAATATATTTCACATGGGTATATTATGAAAACTTTATACACCATGATTCAGAATGTTTAAAAAAAGGATTTCAATAAATTAACCTTTATTTTTCAATTCACCTAAATCAACAGTTTTTCACAGTCCAGTGAAACCGTTTGAAAATTTATCAGACAAGTCAAAGAGCCATGAAGTAGTAGCCCTTGAGTTATAAATAAATTCTTTAAATGAAAAGTTAACAACACTAATGTTTTTAAGGATGAAAGATGTGCTTAAGCAGTTATCCTTTAAGTAATGTTCTAATTTTCTTAAGTCTTAAATTTGTTATATCTCTCTAATATCTCATTTGTTACTTAGCTAATGTCTCATTTGCTACTTAGCTTTTTTTTTGAAATAAATACTTAAACCAGTCAAACACCTGCAGAAACTTTAATGGGTGACATTTAAAATCTGTTGAGGTGTGGAAAATAGCATCGATTTTAAAATTTGATTGAAAATATTTTCTACTTAAAATTAGCTAATAATTGATAGTAAAATAGGACTAAAATAGGACTAAGAAAGCGCCTACCCAACAAAAAGACAAAACTCAAAAAGATTTTGTGAATAAGATTGTATTTGATATGCATATATCTGGTCAGTTAATAAGCAATGCTAACAATAAAAGAATATTTTAGATCACCTTAAAAAATAAAGTTCCAAATGATATTCTGAAGGTACTTAATCTCAATTTAAGCTCAGCTACGTAATCTCATTTTAAATTGCCGTCCATGATTTTTTAATATTCAAGATCTATTAGGTATTAAAATTTTGTACATATTATTTAAATGTTTCTTGAGAATATAAATATATACTTGTATTCCTAACTCAATCCTTTAGAAAGTTTTATATAACTCTAATCGTCTACTATTACTTGGTTACTAAGGACATATGAACTCAATGAATTAATAACAAACATTTTTTACAAACACTAAACTTAATTAGCAGTTGCTACAGCAACACCCTAAGTGGTTAAGATTCTCAAAAGTTGTAGTTTTAATATTTTCATAATTTACCTAATAACAAACAATATTGGCGGAATACTGTTAATATAGTTTACATACTATATGCGTCAATATTGTTCGCTACTTGGGTAAATTTTGAATTAGTTATTAGAAAATTGAAAACCGTGGTTTTTTAGAATTCTTAATCGTGGTTTTTAAGAGTATAGCAGCATAAATTAGTAATGTATTATTTTTGCGATTATTTAAATGGATAAAATAATTTTTAATTTGCCTCACCTTAAGTTAGTTCGCGATCAAATTCGCTTTCAAGTTTTCAACTTGCACTTGTGATAGCTATACGTTGGTTCAAAAAATTTTTGTTTCCGTATTTTTTTATTACATTTAAAAAACATAAAAAATACAATTTTGAAATTGTTACAATATGTAACACCGTTCAATTTTAAAATTTTTAAATTTATGACCAACATATCTTTACTACCTTCAACTACCTTTTTTCAATAATTTTTGTTCTTCTTTTATAAACGAGCTCATTTTTTCCATCTTTGTGAGCAGCAAATCGTGCTGCGATGAACAAAAAGTCACTCAGTCTGTAATAAAAAGAAATTTAATATTATTAACAAAATAATATTGTAACTCTTAGGTTACTAAATGTTAACATTAAAAAGTATTTAGGTTATTAAACAGTCGTTTAAAAGTATTTAATCAATTTATCGCATTGTTCGATTAATATAATAAATTTAATGTTTCCAATTTATAGATTATAAAACTTCTGAAGCGGTTTTTTAAAGGTGGTAATATAATTATTACAAATAGTAATAATTATATTAAGTTTACTTAAAAAACTTTTTACACCTTGTGATAATAGTGATAATGTTATTACCTTGTGATAATTGTGATAATGTTATTACCTTGTAATAATTGTGATGTTATCACCTTGTAATAATTGTGATAATGTTATCACTTTGTGATAATTGTGATAATGTTATCACCTTGTGATAATTGTGATAAAATTTTTCAAAACAAAAAAAACTTAAACATCATCATCATTATACAATACACACAACTATTATTTCTTATTTAGAGTCAAGATTATATAAATGCGTGTATTATAGTTATATAAATATTGTATTATAGTTATATAAATGTTTGTATTATAGTTATATAAATGTGTATTATAAGTAGTTATATAAATGTTTGTATTATAGTTATAAAAATGAGTGATTGTAGTTATATAGTGATGTATAACTGAACAAGATGAAACTTTGCTCTTGCCCTCGAAATCTCATCTGCTCCACCAGCTGATCCAATTGTATCTTCGAGATAAAAAGGTTACCAACACACTATTTTTCATCGCTATTTAGTTCAATCTTTTTTTTTACTTCTCTGTAGTTTTTTTACCAAAAGTACATTTTCTACACTCAAAATACTGCTCACAAGCTGTACAAAGTTTTGACTCTTTTCCAAATTCCAAATGAATGAAAGAATATTTTATTAGACTAAGACTAAAATTAACTATGAATAAAAAAACTTTATTATTAGTTTATTTTTTTTAATTAAATTTCTAAGCACATATTAACTAGAAGTAGGATTTTATTTATGAGTTTATTAAAATTTAATCTTGCCTCTAAATAAGAAATAAAAATTGTTGAAGAATAAAAAGCAAAATCATTTAACCATTTTAACATGTAACAACTTTTGAAAAGAAAACTTTTTTGAAATTATTAATCATCTTTTTTGAAATCATCTATAACCCTGTAATAACTATTTAATACTTGGTCTCTAGAGATCAATTATTGACAACACCTGCCATTTTGACTCACTATGCAGTGCAAAACAAAACAGATTATTATAGATTATAAATTAATTTAAGATATACACAATATTTTATAAAATATTGGTAAATACAGAGAAGTCAAAAAAAAGATTTTGTCCAAAAACACAAAAACTAAATGTTGTTTTGCTCTGTCAAGCTTGAACCTCTCTCCTATCATAATAAAGTTGCATCGCTTTTTCTATTCTACAAATATTACCATGGTTGCTGCTCAAATGAGCTATCATTTCTGTTTCCATCAACTAAAACTCATTCTCGCTTGATTTGTTATTTAGCAAAATCTCATTTTTTTACTATATCTGTTGCTGCTCTAAAAATTTTCATTTGTCTAGTTTTTTATTCGACATTTTAACCCATTGGAACTCTTTCCTATCTTAATTTTTCCTAATTCTTACAACCTATAACTTTCATGTCTTCTGCCAACCACTTCCTTGCTTTTTAACTCTATTCTTTATTTTCTAGTAGCTCCCAACTTAATAGTGATTCTTTGCAGCCTTGTCGGGAGTAAATCAGAATTAAAAAAGAAAAAAAAATAATTATTTTTTAAAATAAGAAAAAAATGTCAGACAGTGGAGTGTTATTCTTATTGTAATAATTACATAATTAAATCTACTAATACAGATATTTATGGATTGTTGATGAAAGAAATTTTTTCAAAATCTATAAATGTTTTGGTGTTGATAAAATGTGGAAAATCAAACATTTGATTTTGAAAAAAGAGTTATGCATTCTGTTATTATTCTGTAGTGGCATGAAAAGGTGTTCTGGACTGCAGAGGTATGAAACTATTTCATCAAAACATTTGTAAAATGTTTCATATAAAAATTTATGTATAGCAATCAAGATATCACTATCAAAAAATCCTTTTGAATTTAATAAAAATTTGAATATAACCAAAAATAAAGTGCATTAAAACAATTATCCCACTTGATCAGTATATAGGATAATATGGTTGAATATGTTTGATCAGAATATAGGATGATATGATAGGATATGTTTGATTATGATATAGGATGATATATTGCAAATGAGTTTTGTATTTTCTTTACTTCCGCAGACATTTTCATAGGAAATAAATTGCATTTAAAAAACTTTGTTTGTCCAAATCTTTTTACCAATCTTTTTACCTAGGCACAGCAAACAGATTCAAATTTTAACGATATCTATCGAAAACGAACTAAAAAAGATCAAAATAAAGAAAGAATTAGACTGGATTAGACAGTTTAATACACATCAAAATAATTAAGCCACATTATTAATTTGTGAATCTCAACTGGTATTGGCCCATTAGCATGGAAATCTGCCAGATCAGCAATACTCATTAAGTCACAAAACTCCAATGAAGCCAATCAATTGTTGGCAGAGCAAACTCAGTGCTTGGTATTATAAAAAGAACATTCAAATACGTCGACACACATATGGTGAAAAAGTTGTACGTAACATTTGTTTGGCCACACCTTGAATTTGCAATTCAAGCTTGGTGCCCATTTTTAAGACAAGACATCGACAAAATTGAGAAAATCCAAAGAAGAGCCACAAAGTTAGTGCCAGCATTAAAAAAATTACCATATAAGAAAAGATTAGATATTATGCAATTAACAACTCTAGAAGAACGGGAATACGTGGCGATCTAATCCAACAGTATAAAATTCAACATGGGTTTAATAAAGTAAATTAAGTTTCAAACTACAATTTACCGCGTCACAAGAAGGCCCCCATCTGAGGCAACATAAGTTCAAATTAAAAAACTATTCTGCAAGAATACTACCAGATCAAATTTTTTCTCTAATCGTATAGTCAATATGTGGAATAATCTACCGAGTGACATAATAGAAGCTGAATCAATAAAGCAGTTCAAAAACAAACTAGATAAATCAAATATTTGCAAAAACATTTTATTACAAAATTGTTTTTAAGATAATTTGGCTTAGAGATTTAGGAATTGTGAAAAGCTGAAACATCAACTGTTGTTGTGCTCCACAACTGTTAACATCAGTTGTTACAGCTCTCATTATTATTATTATTATTATTATTATTATTATTATTATTATTATTATTATTATTATTATTATCATTATTATTATTATTATTATTATTATTATTATTATTATAATATTATTATTATTATTATTATTATTATTATTATTATTATTATTGTCCACCTGTTTCACTTGAACTTTCAAAAATTCTTGAATTCATAAAATGGGTGTTAACCACTTCTACACCCAACTTATGGACCAACTTGACAAAAATGCTGTGTGCAATTTAGATCCCATAAAAAGCTGAAATTGCTTGTAAACATTGATGTTTGTTAGGAGCTTGACCAAAGTAAATTAGTTAGTGCAGTAGTTTCAGATTATTGAAGGTCTTTGATAACATTGGACATCATTTTTGATTGGCCATCTTTCTAAAGAAGTTATTTTTGCATGGTATTGCTGGACGAGAATACAAATAGTTTTGCAACTATTGCTTATTTGTTTTTCTGACAGCATTGCATTAAAATAAATAGAGAAGTATCAGATATTATTAACATAAAGTGTCCTGTAAGGCTTAGTGCTTTTACCAGTAATATTCTTGATATTTTGAAATAATTTTTATGAATGCTATAAACTTTCAGATGCAATTACTTTTGTATTAAAATTTTTTTGCTGACAAAAGTTATATAGTCATAGAAAGTTGAAATGACTTAAAAGTTTTTGTATTATTGACTGTGTTATGAGTCTAAACAAAGAAAAACTTAAAATTTAAAAATGTGATTTCATAACTAAAAGAACACATATAACCCCTTTAAAAAAAAAAAAATTATGAAAAAGTATTTTATTATAATAACACTTTATTAACATATATAATTTAAAAATTAATCTAACTAAAATATTGTTAATAACCTGTTCATATATTTGTAGACACTTTCATCTATCATATTTTTATGAAGAAGAGGAACAAGTCTAAAGTAAAAAATTATTTTAAACATCAGAAGAAAAATTTTCAAAAAAAATATACATATAAAGTCTAACCGTCTTTCAGCTCTACGACAAATAGTTCTTGCCAAATGAAGTGAAACACTGCTTTTGCCTCCAGACTAATTTTTTGTAAAACAATAATGTATATATATATATATATATATATATATATATATATATATATATATATATATATATATATATACATATATATATATATATATATATAATTATGTTAGTGTATTCTACAAGTAGAGTGCTCAATGTTCTTAAATAATAGAGCAATATTAAAAACACATAATTTTTTTTTCGACAAGCTGTTTCTCCTTCTGAAGGTTTTTTTTCGACAGGCTGTTTCTCCTTCTGAAGGTTCATCAGAAAGAATCATTATTCTTATTTATTCAATATTCTTTCTGATGAACCTAAAGAAACAGCCTGTTGAAGAAAAAAATACATAAGTGTTTTTACTTTTAAGTGTTTTACAAATTATTAATTATATTTAATTACAAACAAACGGTAATTTCACTTTTTGATAACTTTTAAAGTTCACTATAATTGGGGTTTTTTAATGTTATGTAAGTATTAAAAATATGGCCTCCAAAATTGCATTTTTACATATTGACCATCACTAAATTCATACCTCCGTTCTTAGGTCCGCATTTGTTAAACTGAATTTCAATTGGCTCTCAAACTTTTCTTTCAAATTTTCTGTGTTCTATTTTTAAAGTTTTTACTTGATCCCATTTTATATTGCACGGACATTTAATTTTATGATGCGCAATTGCAGATTGTTCCAATTTTTTTTCAAATACATTTTTTTGGTGTTGTTTTATTCTTGTTGCTATTTTCATTTTTGTTTCGCTGATGTATTTTTGTTCACACTTGCATTTATTAGGTATACTCTGAGATAGCTATTTGATGGTAGTTTTGTTTTGTTGCGTGAAGTTAGCAAAAATCTAAGATTTGCACTAGAATTAAAGACTGCCCTGTAACCTGCTTCCCAAAAGATTTTTCTAAATTTTGGTGATAATATTGGGATCTACGATAGTGATGTTGGCATGGTTACTTAGTTGTCAGATAAGACTATTTCATTATTTGAGTTTTTTTTATAACAATATTTGAAAGGTTTTGCAATTTTTTCTTTTTCTATCCATTTTCAGCTAACACATTTATTAGAAAATCAATTTCTTTATTTTAAAATTTTTCAGTGCAAATTGATAGTTGCTCTGAAATATTGGAAGGAATCCAAGGAATCAGCCATGCAAGTTCTATGAGGGTGCATTATTAATCCACTCTGAGAAAAGATACGCTCAACATGGGTAGACATTGCTGTGATACAAAAATACTTGTCAAATATAGTTCTGATTTTTGAATAGTGTTCTATTTCGTACAGTTTTTTCAACGAAAAATCATTTTAATCAAAATTTAGCAAATTTATTTGTTCAAGATAGTTTGGCCGTTGTTGAGCGTGGTTGACAATGCTAATTTGCGCAAGTAAAACATGATTTTTTTCTATAATTTGCCAAAAAGGAATTTTTTTTGGAAGAGGGCTCTTGAATCTGAGTTGTAGTTTCACTAGATACAGCAGTTTCAATAGATACAGTAGTTTCACTATCAACGTGACTTCTTGTGTTGTTTTTGAGCAAATTTTTGATAGTTCAGTGTAGAGAAGACCTGAAAATAAAATGTTTGAACATTGAAAGTTTTTTATTCAATCTTTTTGTTTATAACCACTATTTACTAAGCACTGCATTATTTTTTCAAAATCAACCAAATCACTCCTCCACACACCCCCCCCCCAAAAAAAAATCCACTCACTGTTTATTTTATTTTTAACTTCTTCCTTTAACTCATATGTGCTAGGATGATTTTCAAGCAATGATATGAATACATCGGGTCCATTGCACTGGCCATCATAAATAAGTTATCATCAAAGTTCAAATTATGAATTTTTGAATGCAATGCAATTTCATCTGGAAATTTTAAAAAATAAAAATAAGTTATGTAGTCCAACTTTTGATGAGAAAAAACTGTTTCTTAACATTTCCTCTAGAATTTTAGAACAACTAAGAACAACTGCAACAACATAACTGAATAAGATCTATTGCTTCAGCAAAAGATTCCAGAATATGCACCAATTCTTGCAGCTGGTTAAACTATTTGACTGATAATATTAGATTTTCTTTTCACGCAAAAAAGTACCTAACTTGGTGAAACAACTACCTTTAACTGAATAAATGTACTGTTCCAACGAGTTTCATTTTTAGATGGAACACAATGCTTTTTTCCCATTGCAGACTCATAGGCACTACAAAATGGAGAACTTTGATGTAATACACTTTGAAGTTTAGAACATTTTAAAAGAGTAAATATAAAATTACTTACAACTTTAATTCATCACAAACAACTAATTGCAGAGAATGAGCAAAGCAAGGTATTCGCATTGCAATTATATTTAGAGATTCATTTAGATTTACATCATCTTCAACTGGGTCTTCCTACAATGATGGATCAGCCTCATTATCCAAATGATCTTCTCCATAATCAAACAAAACATTCATAGCTTTCTTCATGTTGGACGCATTGTCTGTCACAATGTAATGCACTTTATTGGCTTTTTATGTTTTTTTCTAAAACTATTGTCTCCATATTTTTCTTCCAGATCCTTGGAAGGAACAAAATGCAAGAAGATGAGACTGTGGTTTACCATTAAAAAAAACATGGAAAGTGACTGCAAGAAATGCATGTGCTCTTCTATTGGTCCATATATCTGTTGCTAGTGAAAAATTGATGATTTCACTATAAACTGATGCAATTTTGTGAGTTTAACTTAACGCATTTTTGGTAAAATTCCATATGCAATTGTTTGTTTTATTTTTGTTGCAATGGTGGTGTAAACTTCGGATCAATCTCTGTCCAAAACTTTCGGAGAACAGTGTTTTCAGTTGATGAAATTTGCAAACCACAATTTACAATGACATTGGTTACAAATGATTAAATAAATAACTTTTGGTGAGGATGTTGTGATCTGTAAGAAACTTGGTTTTCTTTTTTTTTGTTTAGTTTTGGTGATCTGATTCTTCTTGTACTGTTCATACAATGACTCATGTTTTGGAGATAAATAATGTTTTAAAGATAAATAATGTTTTGGAGATAAATGTCTAAAAAATAAACAAATGTGTAATATAAATATATCATCTTTTGACCTATAAAAAAAAAAATTGACCTAAAGTCAAATAAAAGAACTAAAGAGAACTGTATAAATAATAACTATAGTGAATGTGAATTATTCACTTAGTTCATAAATCCTGAAGTTACACTGTGTGTTTCTGTAATACTAGAATGACAAGTATTACATTTAGCTGACCATTTATCTTCGATTATAGGAAAACTTTTGTATCCAAAATTGATGACTGATAGCAAACCTTTTTCCATTCTTATATATTTTTAAATATAAAGAAGGATAATTAAGCTATTGCTTATTGGTTCAAAGTTTTATAAACCAAATTTTTTTAAAAATACATAACTAATAACTTTTATGAAAAGATTTAGATAAGTTGAATAAAAACAGTATAATTAAATAAATAAAAAAACTATAATAAATTATAACTTAAATATAATAAAAATTTTAACTCAAAAAACCTTTTAAATTCTGTTTTTAATTTTAAGAAAAACTCAAGTGTTTAAATCTTTTTCTAAATTTTGAAATGGTCTAACTAATTAAAAACGTTAAAATAAGTCATGTGACTTAATATATAGAACTTCTGTTTAACCAATCATGTCATTGATGATTGTTTTAATATGGCTAACCAAAAACGGCAATTTAACCAATTAAATAAAAACCGCAAAAATAAATTCAAAAGCTTTCAAATAATTTCAAAAGCTTTTAAGTAAACAAAAATTCAATATTAATTTATTAAAAGTAAATAAAACAAATTGTAGTAAAATTACTGAAAGTTCTGTATTCATATTGAAAATTTGACGGCAAGAGCCAAAATGTTCAATGCCAAGGCCAAGGCCAACAGTTTCAAGGCCAAGGGCAACAGTTTCAAGGCCAAGGCCCACAGTTTTCAGGCCAAGACCAAGACCAAAGCCATAATTTTTGGCCTTAAGACATGGCCAAGGACTAACAACTCTGCTTACCAAACATTAAAGAAGCCCAATTAAAAAAGCCATTAAAAAGTAAAGTTACCAGTATAGTTTGTTTGTAATTAAATATAATTAACAATTTGTAATTAAAGCTGAAGATGCTAGTATCAAAAATCTAGCGTTTTAGGAGAGCTTTTTGCCGCTCTCGCACTCATTTCTTCCTGCCGAGGCCTATATATATATATATATATATATATATATATATATATATATATATATATATATATATATATATATATATATATATATATATATATATATATATATATATATATATATATATATACAGTGGTTTTCATAAATTTAGACGCACTCATATTTGAGAATAGAAATTTTTAGTTTTTTAACGATCAAACAATGACGAAAAAAGATTTCGGTTTAGTTTTTTTTCTATTTATTAGATAAATACATACAGAATACAAAATTTAAAAAAGTTTACAAAAACAAAATGAAATACTAAGTAATAATTAGGTACAACTACATGGTATTAAAAAAATTAGACAAAAAAAATTATTCATAAATTTAGACGCACGATACATTAGAAGGCGTAATTTATGAACCAATCAATATTTTGTGTATCCGCTTTTTGCTTTAATACAACTAAGAACTCTTCTAGGCATAGACTCAACAAGATTTTCGCACATCGCTTCTAGTACCTCATACCAGGTCTCCTTAAGGAATTCCTTCAGCTGACCAAGTGTGGAAATTTAAACCTTTGCTAATTCACGGTCAATCTAAGCCCAAACGTTTTCAATCGCGTTCAAATCAGGTGAGTATGGAGGCCACGGTATTGCCATGATATTATTATTGTTGAACCACTCCTTTGTATAGTATACAGTATGTGCAGTAGCGCCATCTTGTTGAAGTTTCCATGGTTTATCATTGAGCATAAGCAGGTCAATTGATGGAATTAGGTTGTTTTCCAGTACTTCTACGTATATTCTGGAGTTGATTCTTCCGGTGTATGTTTGGCACATACCAACACCTTTGTAATTGAAGCATAACCAGATTCCTATCGAGCCTCCATCACTTTGTACATTCGGTCTAATGTACCTGGCGTAATACTTTTCGTGAGCCATTCTTTTGACTTTTATGTTAGATTTGCGATTGATAAGCTCAAAGTTACTCTCATCACTTCACGTAATGTTTTCCCATTGTTCTATTGTCCAATACCTTCTTTCACGACACCATTTTAGTCTCCTTTGTTTATCATATGGACGCAGAAGCGGTTTCTTCAAAGCAGTGTAGACTTCAATCTTGTATTTGAAAAGTATTTGGCGGACTATGCTTTGAGAAATAGATGTATTTCGCGTTGTATTGAATTCTGTGTTCAATTCTTTGTAACTAATTCTTGGATTAGCTCTGACAGCTCTAAAACAAACACTGTTGTCCTTTTTGGAGGTTGACAAGGGTCTACCTGGCCTCGTTTACTCGCTGGCACCACCAGTGTGAAGAAAGTTTTGTTTTGTTGTCCGAACACATTTCTCAGAAAATCCAATTAACTTGGCGATTTCTCTATTACTTTTGGTTCCTTCTTTGATGTGCGCAATAATTTGCCATCTTTCACCTTGAGTGATACGTCTTTTGCCCATTTTTCACGTCTTTTTAGTGCAAAACTAACTTAACTTTTGTTTATTTATTAATTAATGATTAACTAATTCCAGGTAAGTCATATTTATAAAAGGTTTTTTGACAAAATCAATTAATTTAGGCCTATTAATGATAAATATGAGAAAAAACTACTAATTAACTATCAATTAACAAGATATAAGACTTTTTTGATTGTGCGTCTAAATTTATGAACAAAATAAAATCAAGCTTATCAATTAACTTTTTCGTGTTAATCGGTATAGAATGAGTAATAAACATCCTGTAAAAAAAATTAAGGTACTCTATAATAGAGTTTTACTTCCTCTTTTAAATTATATATCAAACATAGTGGTAGCACTTTTATTTTATTTTTATTTTGAGTATTTTCTTACATTAATGAAAAAAAAATGAATGCGTCTAAATTTATGAAAGCTACTGTATATATATATATATATATATATATATATATATATATATATATATATATATATATATATATATATATATATATATATATATATATATATATATATATATATATATATATATATATATATAATATATATATATATAATATATATATATATATATATATATATATATATATATATATATATATATATATATATATATATATATATATATATATATATATATATATATATATATATATATATATATATATATATATATATATATATATATATATATATATATATAAATATATATATATATATATATATATATATATATATATATATATATATATATAGTATGTGTGTGATCTATATATATATAGTGTGTGATCTTTTATTTATTTAATTATACAATGTATTACGTAGCCATAGCATCGTTATCCGGCAAAAAGTCTTTTGCCTTATTTTATCATAATTGTTTTTTTTCTTTTTCTTTCTCATCTCAAAATCATAATTTTTCTATTCAATCAAAATCATGTTTAACCTATAAAATGTTCACACCGTTTTTTAAACTTTTTTAATTTCATGTCTTTTAATGTATTCAATTTTTTAGTTTGATTTGATTATTTGAGTTGATTCTCTTTAATATAAAGAGTTCTTTATAATTATTAATTAAGACTATATATATGTATGTATGTATGTATGTATGTATGTATGTATGTATGTATGTATGTATGTATGTATGTATGTATGTATGTATGTATGTATGTATGTATGTATGTATGTATATATATATATATATATATATATATATATATATATATATATATATATATATATATATATAGTCCTCGGCATCAGGAAAAATGAGGTCACCAGCAACTCAAACATAAAAAAAAAAAAAAATTAATAACTTTAATGCTTAAGTAAAATTACATTCTACTCAATATGACAAAAAAAAAATTGATCATAATAAATAAGTGAAATTCCAAAAAGTGTAAAACATATTAAAAAACTTAGCGTCTATTTAAATTAATTAATAAAAAGTCAGAATAAGATCTAATTTTACATTTTTATTTATTTTATAACTAAAAAGTTTAAAAAAAAACACTAATAGGTAAACATTTTATCATGATGATGTAAACACTAAATATATAATAACTTGAAGCTTTAAAATATTTGGAGAATGTTAGAACAAATATTTTATACATTACACAAACATATATTTTTCACATCTAAACAAAATAAAACATACAGGAAGAATAAAGTTCTTTAGCGGTGGTAAATGCTTGTCATATTCATCAATCCAGGACTCAAGTTGGTCAATATTTGTTGCATCAAAACTCAACACATCTGCATAAAATATAAATATTCAAAAAGGTATTGTATATCAACATATATATATATATATATATATATATATATATATATATATATATATATATATATATATATATATATATATATATATATATATATATATATATATATATATATATATATTAGGGTGGAGTGATTTTGAAATCAGAACTATAGTAACCCTGGAGTAAATAGATTATCAAAAAATAATAATAATATATATAAAATGTATTTGCTAATAATGCTTGGAAAATGGCTGGTTTACAAAAATGTACATTTATTAAGACATAATCTATTTTTGTGGAAAACCGCCATTTTTTCGAATTTTTTTCAAAGTAGGCATGTGCATTGCGCGTTGTTTTGTTGCTTTTAGATTATAATTTATAAATAGAAAATAATTTATAAAAAAAATGTCTAAAAGCAAATCAAGGAAAACTCGTTTAGAAAATAGTCTGAAATACGGAGGTCTCCCATCAGAAATGCCTTCAGCTGATCTTCCAACATTTCGTCAAGTAATTCAGTTTTTTTATTTCACTGAAAACAATAACCAAAACATTTCAAAACAGAATCTACTAGAAGAGGTTGAAAATTATCTGAGTACTTTGTGAAAGTAAACTCACGTCTTCCTCTTCTTCAGAGATATTCAATCTTAAGAAAATTACGAAATCTTTTTGAAAGAGTAAAATCTATAAACCGAGGACGTTGTGAATCTAAAAGTAAGGAGTATCAAGATTTGATTTTGGATAAACTCTTTGATATTTAATCATGTTCTTGTGAATTAGCAACTGTTTTATGTAATGACAGAGATGTTAAGTGTAGCATCATTAATTGCCAAGTAGAGCACATCTTGTGTCTTTGTAAAACTAGAAAGGTATTTGATTACATTTTTTATATCTTATTGTATATACTAAAATATTTGTTGTTTTAATTTGCAATTATTTATTAATTATATATAATTATTTCACTTCAATTAAACTGAAGTAGTTGATTATTTTCAATAATTTTTTTTTTTTTTTTGTTATTCACCTCCTCAAGGCCGGGAAGGCCACTACAGACGAGGAGGCTACTAATAGTGGTTAATACCTTCTCTCAACTCTATAACTCCGAAACACGAACCTTGATGAACAAGGCCGCTGCGCGGAGAAACAAGTTGAGCGCGGTACTACCAGGGACGTGGTGGGGATCGAACTCCGAACCTCTCGCTTATGAAGCAAGTGTTTTACCATTACACCACTACCGCATTTTTGTATAATTGTATAATTGTATTTAAGGTCGCATAATTGTATTTAAGGTCCCTTTTGAAGACAGGGCATATAATCGTGACCAGAGAAACAAGATTGGTCCTAAAGGTATTTATCAGCTAGGAAAGGCTGATTTAAAATCTGGTACATTTGTTCCGGAAAGGTTAGTTCAAGTAGAGCTTATAGATCATGTTGAAATACCTTACGCCCACAACTCATTGATTGATTCTGGTCACATATCTGAAGTTTCAGCATTCGATCCAGATGTTTTGGTAACATTTTTATGTATATTTGTGTGTGTATATATATACATATATATATATATATATATATATATATATATATATATATATATATATATATATATATATATATATATATATATATATATATATATATATATATATATATATATATATATATATATATTATGTTATAATAATCTACAAATGAGTGCTCAATGTTCTTAAAGGAACAGAGCAATAGTAAATTAGTAAAAATACTCATCTAATTTTTTTTCTTAAATAACTTGTATCACCATCAGTAAGTTCATCAGGAAGCTTCCTGACTATAATAATAGAATATAAAAAAAAATTAGATGTGTTTGTACTATTTTATATATATGTATATATATATATATATATATATATATATATATATATATATATATATATATATATATATATATATATATATATATATATATATATATAATCCAGTAAAAAGTTCTCAATATAATTTAATGAAATTTGATAGATTTGCAATGTAGGCTGTCAGGTATATAAAATTTTTATACATATTGAGTTTAGATAAGAATTTTTTTATATATACTATATTAAAAGTGTGAAAACAAAAACAAAAAACTTTCATTATTTTTCATCCCCAGTAAGTTTTTTTTAATATGGGAGGGTGAATATAGAATGGATCACATATAGGTAATATACTTTGCTTTTTCAGATTTGTTTATTTATTTCATAGTTTTTTATTTGTAGGTATGATGTCTCATCTTGTGCTGCAGCTGCACTTGCAAATGCTCTACTTCTAGATTATGGAATCATTAAATATGGAGATTTGAATCAAGTTGTAGATCGAAGCAAAATTGAGAGGTAAATACTATTTCATTATATAAGTTACACAAATATAAATATATCTCTTTATTTAATAATTTATATAAATGCTCATTTACAAAACATTTAATATGATATTTAGCTAAATATAATACTTTGAGTTGTTTTATAGAGAGAAGAAGAAAGTAATGTCAAGATATGGTAATCAACATGATAATAATTTAAGTAACTTAGTGTGTTTGGGTGTTGATGGTAAAGATGATAAAAATGTTCTTCAGTTTAAAAATGTCATTGAAAATGGAGAAACTCGCTTGTCGAGAGTTACTGAAAAAGAACATCATTTAACTTTTACTAATGAAAACAGTTTTAAAAATGGTTCATATCTCTCTCATAAAAATCTTCCATCAAATGGTGCAACTGGTTTGCTTCAAAGTGAAATTGTATATAATGTTCTGAAAGAGTATGATAGTTTAAATTCAGTACAAGCCCTTCTTCTTGATAATACAAATGTCAATACAGGTTTCAAAACTGGAACTGTTGCATGTTTAGAAAAGAAATTAGAAAGAAAAATACACCTTATCGGTTGTACTTTGCATCACAATGAACTTCCATTTCGAAAAGTATTCAAAATAGTTGATGGCAGTTCAAAGTGTCCAAATAAATTTTCAGAACCTATTGGAAAGCAAGTTTCTATAGATTTCCATCTTAAACCACAAGTGAAGTTTACCAAAATTGATACTCCAGTAGAGATACTAAATATTCCCATTGAAGTGATAAATGATTTAAGCCATGATCAAAGACTATTATTTGAATATTGTCTTGGAATTTCTAAAGGATTTGTCAATAACATATTTTTTAGAAGAAAAATTGGTCCACTAAACAACGCAAGATGGTTGACTTTAGCTATTCGAGTCATGACTTTGTATACTTGACTTTGTATACTTGTACTGAAGTCTTGATCATGTAAGGCTTGTAAAGTTTATTGTACAAGTATATGCATACACTTAGTTTCTTATCAAAAGGTCTTCTAAATTTATGGATTCTCCAAGTATATTCTTTAAAATGACAGAACAGATAAGGAAGCAAGATAAAGAAATACAAAACATTTGTTTTAAAAATCTAAAAAAAAATTCATATTGTCTATTGCCAGAGAACCTTTTATATTGTATGCTTAGGAATGAAGAATCTAACTCAGGACAAGTAAAAATAAAGAGTGTCATATTACAAATATTGTTAATGTTGAGATAAACTTTCAAGCAACTTCTTGGATAGAATTAATTGACTTTAAGAAAAGCAGTGAACCAGCATCAACAATATGGTTGAAGGATGACGAAATCGATGCGCTAAATGTAACTAAAGAAGGTAAGTTCGGAACTTCTTTAGTTACAAACTTACCTGAATTTCCTTCTCACGCGCTATCAAATTAGTTACAGAGGCTAGTCACCAAGTATATGGCAGGGAAGCTCGTCATAAATATATTTTAACTAAACTAAAATCCAGGGAAATACGACCATATTTTGAAACTAAAAACGACTTTGTGGTTTTTTAATAATAAATTTTGTTATGCATTTGATGTTAATAAAACATAATTATATAAATGTAATTACTTTTTCAATGCGAGGAATATAAAAGTGTGTTTAGGATTTAGGACCAATGCAGTAGTAGGGTAATGGTAAAGTGTTCGACTCACATTTGCAAGGTATTTATTTTGGAGATATTTCGCCTTTGGCAATTGAATTCTTGATAAACACTTATATTTGTGAATTTAAGTTTATAGTGTTAAAAACAATAAAAAAAAAATTTAAAAACACGTTCGGATTTTGGTGATAGTTATCCATGGCTTTTTTTATTACCCGTTTATTAAGTTGATCACTGTAAAAAAAACTTTTGACTGGTTTGACTTTGTTAAAAAATTGAATTAATTTTTAATAATTATTCGTAAATTGTATAAAAAACGTGAAAATTAAGAAAAATTGCATTTTTTCAAAGTCGATTAAGCTTGCAATTTTTTATTTGAAATTTGGAGAACTGAAATTTTTTATGAGCTCATATTTTACCCTGTTAAACTTATATATATATATATATATATATATATATATAAATATATATATATATAAATATATATATATATATATATATATATATATATATATATATAAATATATATATAAATATAAATATAAATATATATATATATATATATATATATATATATATATATATATATATATATATATATATATATATATATATATATATATATATATATATATATATATATATATATATATATAGTAGTCAAAAGAAACTTTTATGGTAAAAAAAAGTAAAAACCTTTCAATACTTTTGTTTTATTATATAAGTGACATCAACTATAAAGTAACATTTTTATGTCATTTAAAAGCCAAAATAATTAAAATAATGCGGAAGTACATCACGCTTATCATTTTTAAAAAACACAATAATAATGACAAAAAAGTTTTTTAAATTAACAGTATTATTGCTTTTTTTTTTTTTTTTTAATAAAATTTAAAACATGATAGGAATGTTGCTACATGATAGGAATGTTGCTGACATATAGTAAAACATGGTAGGAATGTTGCTGACAAATAGGTAAAACATGCAAAGATTGTTGCTTTTATACTGTAAAACATGTGCAGAAATGTTGCTACATCGACTATAGCCT